ACTTAATTAACCAAATTTTATATATCATATAAACAAATGTGAGAGTGATTATGGGTCGTATAAACCTCATTTACGACCGAAATTCGGTGTTTTAATATGTACATTACATGGGGTACTAAAGATATGATATGTGGTTCTGAAGTCCCATAAAGTGGTACAACCTTACTCTAGGTTTGGTACTACATTTTTTTAATGTTGACCACAATTGAAATAATCCATCTTGGTTGACCAAAAGTTGGTACTAATGGATCAAAAGTAGGTACTATGTATAGACAAATGTGGTACTATATTTGATAAATCAGGTATTGTTTGATGAATCATGATTTTACTATTCCTCCATGTCTACCATGTCACGTGGATCGTTAATGTGTGATTTAGATGAAAAAAAATGGAAGTTGAAACATATAGGTAGAAATTGAAGTAGTCATGTATGATGATTTCATGAGATGAAGTGCGCCATTCTATGAAATGAAGTGTAGTAGTAGTGTTTTCTCATTAGTGTGTGGATTTCATGACCATTTTGAGATTAAAGTCAATGATAAACATTTTTAAATCTACTACAAACTAATCTGAGAGTTATTATGGGTCGTATAAACACCGTTTGCGACCGAAGTTCGGTGTTCTAACATGTTCATTACATGTGGTACTAAAGACCCGATATGTGGTACTAAATTCTCATAAAGTGGTACTACCTTACTCTAGGTCTGGTACTACATTTTTTAAATATTGACCACAATTGAAATAATTCATCTTGGTTGACCAAAAGTTGGTACTAATGGATCAAAAGCAGGTACTATGTAGAGGTAAGTGTGGTACTATTTGTGATAAATTAGGTACTGTTTGAAGAATCGTGATTTTGCTATTCGTTCATGTCTACCATGTCACGTGGATCGTTAATGCATGATTTAGATGAAAAAAAATGGAAGTTAAAACATATAGGTAGAAATTGAAGTAGTCATGTATGATGATTTCATGAGATGATGTGTGTCATTCTATGAAGTGAAGTGTAGTAGTAGTGTTTTCTCATTAATGTGTGGATTTTATGACCATTTTGAGATTAAAGTCAATGATAAACATTTATAAATCTATTACAAACTAATGTGAGAGTTATTATGGGTCGTATAAACACCGTTTGCGACCGAAGTTCGATGTTCTAACATGTTCATTACATATGGTACTAAAGACCCGATATGTGGTACTAAATTCCCAAAAGTGGTACTACCTTACTCTAGGTCTGGTACTACATTTTTTAAATATTGACCACAATTGAAATAATCCAATCCTTGTTGACCAAAAGTTGGTACTAATGGATCAAAAGCAGGTACTATGTAGAGGTAAGTGTGGTACTATTTGTGATAAATCAGGTACTGTTTGAAGAATCGTGATTTTGCTATTCGTTCATGTCTACCATGTCACGTGGATCGTTAATGCATGATTTAGATGAAAAAAAATAGAAGTTAAAACATATAGGTAGAAATTGAAGTAGTCATGTATGATGATTTCATGAGATGATGTGTGTCATTCTATGAAGTGAAGTGTAGTAGTAGTGTTTTTTCATTAGTGTGTGGATTTCATGACCATTTTGAGATTAAAGTCAATGATAAACATTTTTAAATCTACTACAAACTAATGTGAGAGTTATTATGGGTCGTATAAACACCGTTTGCGACCGAAGTTCGGTGTTCTAACATGTTCATTACATATGGTACTAAAGACCCGATATGTGGCACTAAATTCTCATAAAGTGGTACTACCTTACTCTAGGTCTGGTAATACATTTTTTAAATATTGACCACAATTGAAATAATCCATCTTGGTTGACCAAAAGTTGGTACTAATGGATCAAAAGCAGGTACTATGTAGAGGTAAGTGTGGTACTATTTGTGATAAATCAGGTACTGTTTGAAGAATCGTGATTTTGCTATTCCTTTATGTCTACTATGTCACGTGGATCGTTAATGCATGGTTTAGACGAAGTGTGTTAGTTGTATTTTAATGAGATAAAGTGTATTAGTTGTGTTTATTAATGTGTTGAGTTCGTGACCAATTTGTGATTAAACGTAGTTAAACACATTTTAAATCTCATTGGAACTAACGTGAGGTGATAATTGGTCATATAAACATCATTTG